GAAGGAAGGAAGGAAGGAAGGAAGGAAGGAAGGAAGGAAGGAAGGAAGGAAGGAAGGAAGGAATTATTTTTAAAAAGGAAAGCTTGTAGGAAACGATATAAGGAAGAAAAAAGAAAGACACAATTTGGACAATAGGATAGTGAATAAAACACGTTTTTCCTTCTTGGGTTGATGTACAAAATACTCAAATAAAATTTGAGACTATTGAAAGCCAGGTGGGAAGCCACATTTTATCACAATGCATCTGGTGAGTCCTCTTTACTTTTTGTAAAGATATTATTTTGCTTAAGTCAGATTCTTAATGCATTTTTATTTTGGTTTTTTGAAACTTATATCTACAGTCTCTCGAGGCCTTTTGAAAACTAATTGATCAAAAGTCTCATGTTTTCCATTCATACGTTTGTGGGGATATGTGGTTGTTTGCACCATATTTAAGTGCATATGAGCTTTCCTTGGACTGGACAGCATACATGCATCCTTACCCAGCTAAAGGTACGACTTACCGTCAGCGCCAGCATAACCTCTCTGAAGTTCTTGTTGCCACTCAGTCTCTTCTTTAGGGCACGCATCGCATCTTTTGGTCTGGAAAGCAAAAAGCATTAATAACTCCTGCTGTGAGTCAGCATGATACCTCTGACTTAGTTGGAATGGACTTGTTTCGGGGACGCAACAACAGATGTCAGTGAGTGAGACTGAGAACAACTGTCACACCATCTGGCTGTCCCTTTTTTCCTTTCTGAGTGACAGCAGAACGCCTCTCCCAAATAGACAAGATCAAAGCTTCCCTTGCATAAAGAGCACAGGCTGGCTTTCTGCCTAATATTCCCTTCCCTTCAATGAAGATGGGGGATAATAAGGTGTTCCCATCGCATTCATAAGCTCATAACAGGTACTAAGTATGGCTGCTGTGCTGAAATTGATAAAGATGGACGAGCACAGAAAAAGAAGTAGGAAAAATATTTTTTTCTCCTTGCAAAGTGTGGAGCACATGGCTGCACAGTGTACATATTTAAAGTTTGTTTGTTATTGGGCATTGCATCTGTTTTGGTTTATCTCATTCAAATACACCATCTGTTGTCACACTTTTAGAAAGCTGATCTTTGCAAAAGGCACACAAAGCAAGTCCTAGGGGAACATCAAACAAAGGTTAATCAAAGTACGCTCAAAATCGGCTGATTTCAGTTTTTGGAGTCTTACTTAACATCTTAAAGACAAAATGATGAAGAAAGAACTCATCCCCTATTACTTTTTATTTTTTTGACTTTCCAGATACAGTGCAGATGGAGGGATGGGTGGACGAACAGAGCATTAAATAAATTATGAAAGTACAAACGTTTAAAATATTGCAGAAATTTTAGGCTTTTCCATTTGGCCCTTGAAGGCATCCATATTTACAATGAATACAGATCTGTTAGAATTAAAGTCTTCATTGCAGACTGGGCCTTTTTGTATTTTAGGAGACCAGCTGAGAATCTGACATCTTTCATTCATTTAGTCAATGACAGGAAAACAACAAACAAAAGGGTTTTTTGTCTGGTGTGCTGACTTCTGGCAAATAACAGTAGGCAGTGCATTATTTGCTTCAGTCCCTCCTTCCATCTGACCCGGGAGAAGACGGTGAAAGCTCTGTTACAAGCTGCTATGGGAAGTTAAGTGTTTCTGGAACACTGACCCACACCAAATTCTTCAGGGCAACAAACAGCACTACAAGACGAATAACAATAACGGGCATGGAGGCTCACCCCTCGTCCGTTTCATTTATGATGTCACAGATCTCCATATTCAGAGTCCAGTCCTCACTCTGCAGGCCTCCATCCGTGGCTCTCTCTGGAAAAAATACACAGAATAATTTTGATTAAGTGCTGCTGTTTTAATTTAATCGTTTAGGAAAAACATATTATTCAAGAAGAACAAATTTTGACTAAATTGATGAGGCAGGTTCGTGAGACTTTATGTGAACCGAGATAAGATGACAAGTTCCAACAGAAATCGGCAGAATAGAGAAAATGTTTATGAAATAATTAAAGCACAAAAATGTATTAATGAGTTTGAAAGAACCCTCCTGCCTGGATTAAAATAAAGAGCAAGTTGTGCAAAAAAAAGAAAAGAAAAAATAAAGAAAATACTTCATCAGTTAGAGAACAAATCACATAATAAAACTTTAAAATTATCTAAATCTTTCTGGCTAACTTAAGCACCACATAAACAAACTATAAAGGGTTGTTTTCAGTTAAAAACAGCTAAAACATGTAATAGAAGCACTAAGAACACATAAATACATAAATAAATCGACTAAAGTGTGCCAAGTTTAGCAGAAAATAAAAAGGCTAATGGAGTCTGTTTGCAGCGCTCTGTTATCTCCTGTCCAGGGGAACATTTGTTTTTAAGGCATAGGTGGACAAAACACTAATATTACAGTAAACAAGGAACTAAAGTTATATGATAGGACTCATAAAAAAACAACAGCTGTTATAATATCTACACACATAGATGCTTGACAGTTGTGTTTATGACTGAGGTTCCTCTTCAGCAGTCTTGTGTAAACATATTATTTGATCTGGCTGGAACGTCTTTCGTCTTTCCAAAAAAAAAAGAAAATGAAAAACAATCCACTGAACTTTGTTTCAGAGTTTGAAGACGTTTCGCTTCCCATCCAGGAAGCTTTTTCAATTTAAAATTAATTGAACCCAGATAAGATAATAAGGGAACATGTCATCTTATCTGGGTTCACGTTTTGAGTTCATGCCATAGTGTGATTTCAAGATTTTGGTGTATTTTTTTGTACATATTCTTGTGTAAATACTCAAAAATTTGGTGGTACATCGAGCAGATCCACTAGTCGGATCAGAGCATGTCAATTTGAGTCTTTAGTTGAGCATTGGGGAAAAATTTGTCAGGTAACCTTAAGTTGGTATTTATGTCTGGTATGTAACTGCTATGAAATATTTACATATTGTTTTATCTATCAAAAACTGAAAAAGGGGGGTTAGAACTTAAGTTTTACAAATGTGCTTTGGCATTTTAAAATGAGACAACAAACACAACAAGTATAAAAAATGTAGTAGTTACTACAAAGAGTTTATGGTTGGAAGCAAGGGGGATCACACACTAAAGATCTTTGCCTGGATGTTCCATAGGAGGGAGGGGGTAAGCTTTTCTAGGTGCGCTATTCCTTTTTTTCCCAGGACTGCAGAGGATGAAAACCGCACCAACATGCAAAGAGTCAGGATGCTCTCGCTAGTTACTCCTGACACCTAAAGCTGTGTCTGACTTCTGGGTATTAGGAGCTTCTAGAAGCTGACTTTGAAGGAATTAACTACAACACTCTTCCCGTAAGCTTCTCAAATGGATTGTGGAGTCAGAGCGGGACAGAGCACAAGTGTCCAGGAGGGAATAAGGAGGAAAAACCAACATAAAGGAACGTATGAGCAGGAATAGTGTCAACAACTGGAGCTTTAGTAATAAAACTAAGTATATTCATTGTGGTTTGGGGCTAAACATCTTCCAACCCTGACTGGTTGTAGTCATAAAAAAGCAAAACTGAAGCCAGTTGATCACGTGCCCCTGATGGTGACAAGCTGTACCGTGTACTCACCAACAAAGCTGCAAAGTCCCTCTCAGGCCTGTCTCTCCTCAAAGAAAAGCTTTAAGACCCTTCCTATCTCGACTCTACAACAGCTTATTCTGTCTTCATATATATATATATATATTTTTTTTTTTTGCTAAATTAGTCAATCTGTTCAACACTTTCCATGAACTCTAAAACTACCACTGCTAAAAAGAATTAAGGAATGAACACAGGAAAGGCTTGTTTTTCCCATCCTCTCCCATCTTTGGGCCAGGTAAAATGATCACCGGCCCGTCTCCTGCAGAGAAAAGGTCTCTGTCACCCGGTCACAGCCACACAGGGAGCAGCTGGATGCACATATTGGCGTGAAAAGCCTTAATGAGCAATGCAAAACACCACACAATGTAGTCACAGGACTGTATTATAAAGCATTATCTTTTATTCATATGCATTAATTGATAAAATAAGTAAAAAGTTTTAAGTTATGTTTCAATTTCTTTGCAGATAGAACCCTAAACAGATAAGAGAGTACCACCAAAAAATACATCAGTAAAAAAAAAAAAAAAAATACATTCTAAAGATGTTTTTCTGTTTTATATAATATATATCTGACCGTTTTTACATGCTAGATATTGAGATTTGTATTTACTAAATATTGGTTAGGAAAGCAACTTTACGTTCCAACTTTAAACAAATTTTTTTTGACATACTGAATATTTTTGCTCTATGTGTAGAAAAAAACAGATATACGGTTTCTTGAGGCACAACAACAGTAAATTGTTCTTCTTTGATAAATCTATTATTTGGACAAAAAACTAAATTTGAATGTGCTAAGTTGAGATCAAAGAACACAGTTAAATGTAAGTACTGTAAAAACATTTTTATTTCTGAGGAATTTCTAAATTGCAACTTAAAGATCATAGAAAAATAAGTAAAATACTAAAACATTTTTCCATGCTTATTTTCCAGGCATTCTTTTCTTTCCATAGCCATCCAGACTTGGGAAGATAATATCAAATTCAATCATTTGTTTAGGACTCCATAGGAATATTGTCTTGAAGACAATAAATGGAAGGTTGGTAGTGTGCTAATAAATTATTATTCTAAAATAGATTGGACCAATGCATGTAAATATCTAGGAAAAATCTAAAGAAAAAAATCTCGTAACATCGACTGGAACCTGATTTCCTGGAAATTAGTTTACAGTTTAATTCTAAGAAATTATGTTTAGAAAGTTATGCAGAGAAATCAAACAAGCAAAGATTATTTTATAGTTTAATATACATTTTTTTTAAACTGGTGGCATTTATTTAACAGAATAAAAGGACAAATAATTAAATGCATACATTTTTCTTTCACATGAAAAACAAGTTTTTGTCAATCTCAACATGGACCATGCTTGCTCAGTAGGATCATAGATGATTGTTAAGTACTTATACAAAATAAAGCAAAATTAACTCAGTGGGACAATATTTTAAGGTATTCAGAGTATTGGTATTTTTGATAACCATAGTTTACACACTCTACCTCTACGGTCTGATTGTTATGATTGAAGCCGACGAAGCTGACAGAAATCTAGTTTTCTGTCTTTTAAAAATGTGAAAATCCAAGATCAAGCAAAACAATACTGATTAAAAAAAAACTATAATGATACAATGATTTAGAAAAATCACAGAAATAACTAATGGCTTCCCAGTTGACCAACCAACAGGTACTGACTGCGCCATACCTACGAATATTTACAGGAAGTGGAGGGAAAATGTGTGGTAAAAAACAAGGAATCAAGCAAACCTTAGGACCACAGCTTGGAGAGGATTTTGAAGCCAAAAGAGACAGAAATGGATTGTTGCACTGGTTTCTAAAGCAATGTTAAATGACAAAGGAGTGGAAAGGACCAGAATCCCAAGCTGCTTAAGATTCTGTCTATGTGTGTTCTCAGCCAGTGATAACTCATCTATGGATGTTGGTTTAATGTGTTTGATTACGGTAGGTCCAAATTTGCTAAATTTTTTGAGCATCTAATTCCCACTGCCAAAGTTACCCGCTTTAACAACCGTCGTAAAAAAGGATGTAGAATGCTCTCCATTCAAAATTACAGTTTGATCAATGTATCAAAGAGGAATTTGCACAGATGCCATTTTCTAAATGCAGGGGTAGAGATATACCCCTAAAAAAAATACCAGTTGCAATAGCAAGGATGTCACAGTAGTAACAAAGTAGTAACAAAGTGAGCTACACATTCCATATATATATATCTGTTATCTTATCTATAAATGAATCTTAAAACATATCAATTCCTAGCATTTTTTAAACTATGACATAAAATCCCAATCTCCTTCATGCCATTATATAAGGCAGAGGTCTTCAACAGGGGGTCCGCGACCCCTAGGGGGTCCAAGGAGGAACTGCATGGGGGTCACAAAAGTTTTGGTTGATAAGACTTTTTTTATATCCCCCCCTGAAATTTTTTCCACTAATTGAAATGTCTTTAAATCCACCTTAACATGAATTCTACACACTCTGGTAAACACACAGGAGCTCTTTCAAGGTGGGCACCGTTTCATTCACAACACCTGTCCCATCAACGAGGAATCTGAATTAGAAATACTTTCATAATCCCAGGGAGAAATTACTTTCTTTACCTTAATCCATATGTAATCGAGTGACTATAGGACCAGTTCGATATAACACTATTTCATACAATATATATAATTAGGAGGTCCCTGCTCCATCTCGCCATCAGTTTGGGGGAAAGCGTTGAAAACCCCTGATATAAGCGGTTGTTTGGTATGGTCATACCATGATCAAGTATTGTTTATATATACTACAGTGCATGGGCCTGACACTCCAGTATTGCAATATTTAATTGTTTCTGGGATGTTTTTAGAATAGATTTTAAAATGTTATTGTTTGTTTTTAAAGCTCTTAATGGTCTAGCCCCAAAGCATGCGTCTTGGCTTAATAACTTGCCTTGGCATATTCGATCGACAGGCTCCTTTGAGGTTTTTAATTCCTCTCTAAAAGCACACTTCTTCTCCCTGGCTTTTAATCAGGTCTAAGTGGACATTTGGTAAAATTGTATTTTATGTTAAAATGTATTTTAATTGAAAGATTTATCCTATTATATTTTATTTCCATTCAATTTTCTTTTTTTTTTATTGTGTTTATGTATTTTAGTTTTCAGTTTTTATCTTATGCTCTGCAAATGTGATTCCTGTACAGCACTTTGGTTTAAATGTGCTTTATCAATAAAGTTTGAGTTGAGTTGATATGTACCATCCTAATAAAAAATAAAACATATTTGAGGACTTTAATTCGCCATAAGCCATAATTATCATAAGCAGAAGAAATAAACACTTGGCCTCTACATTAAAATAATGTAACCCATTAGTTTTATTTATTTATTTATTTATCGCTGCGATAAACATTGAAACATAAAAAGTTGAAACTGTTCAATCCTGAACAAAAATAATTCCATCGTGCCTGGATTAGGAGCACTTTCTAACACATGGGGTGTGGTTCATCAGACCTGCCTTATCAGATGAGATGTTTGAACTGAAACACTGAACAATCACTCTGCTCAATGTTGTTCAGAGACTGGAAGCCAAATCTCAGCAAACCGTAATAACCATAGTTAGCATCACATCTCAGTGTTCTGGCTTCCTTAAAAGCTGCAACTCATTTTCCTCACATGTACAAGCAGATTTACCCGAACTTTAAATCGAGTAAAGACAAGTTTCTCAGATTTCGTGGCTAACGTTAGCTGACAGCTCATTCCGAGTGGATGACGTTTGCTGGGAAGATGCGAGCAAAGCTTGTCCAATTCTTCCAGACTAAGAGTGAAGACTAAATGTCTCATTGTAACGACCGAAACGACGTATCTTTCATAAACACTCTCCCGCCTTCACGTACCTACACACTGGCCCACAGGCGTGCTGTAAGGATTTCCAAGCAGAAACTCCATTTTGACAACAAACGATCCACTTTGGAAATGACGGAGGCTGAGGCCCAGAGGCGTCTGGCTGTATGGCTACACCCCGCCCACTGGGCACCAATTGGTTGAAACAACGCGAGCCCTAATTTGATTGGCTAAAAACCAAGGTCAGTCATAAAGCAGAAACAAATCTACGTAGAACCTTAGGACGGCATTTCTCAAATGTATCTCATGATAATAAAAAAAAAGAGCGCAAAAGAAAAGTATTGAAATTGATCATTTAAGCTATCCTGTTGTCCTTTTTTATTTAATAACTATAATTTCAATTTTGGTTACGACTTATAAATAAACTAGCAAGCACCCAAAGAACGAACATGTAACTTTTTTTTTCATTTATTTTTTATTTTATTTTACAGATTCAGTATTTTACGGTCAACTATCCAGTTATTTTCATCCCTTGAACGCGTCATCTCGTTGCTAGGTAATAGGGACAAACAAACGGTAGCAGCATAACACGTTTCCAACGGATTTAAATCTATAAAAGGAGCCGTTAATTTGATTTTTGTTTTTAGTTATCATCGGTAAGTAAGTGGCTTGCCAAAATTTATATTTATGTAGATAACATAAATGTAATAGTAAAATTTATGTCAATTTATTAAGAGTTTTTGTTTGGGTTAATCTGTGACAGGCTGTAAACCGCAACAATATGGAGAATTACGACGATTTGACGTTAAAGGAGATGGTGGAGTTGACCGAAGATGATCGCTCTTTCCGTGAAAGAAGGGTTCTGATAAACAACAAAATTCCTGAGAATCTTTGTAGTGATATAATCGAGTTAGATTTGGAAGGCAGAGGTAAAAATCATGACAAAAAAATTACCTTTGGCATGATAAAGTTTTGGGTCAACCTTTGTGTGATGATACATTTTGTTGTTGCTTCCAGAAATTCGGAATATGGACTTCCTTATTCATTTTACATCTCTGGTAAAACTGGATCTTATGAGAAAAAACATAGAGAAGATCTCTGGCCTGGGCCTTTTGACTCATCTGACATGGCTTGGTAAGGGATAGTTTCTTTCATATCAGCCTATAATGCCTTTTACCACTGTGTGTTAGATAAACTCTGCATTTAATAAGACTTTACTTAAAAAGTATTCATACCTGTTGAAATGTTCCAGATCTGGTCATGTTATATGGTCGGATGTTAAAGCTCTTTAGGCAGGAATGGTTTTCTGTAGCAATTTATCTCCAGATCCAGAGAACACCTTGACTGATGATTTTTTTTTTTTTTTGTAATATAATCTCCAGAGGTTGCAAAAGAGTTTCCAGAACAGAGCCAAGGGGTGCATAATTATGAAATATCCTGAAAATATAAAGAAAGCAAGGTTTCCTATTTTTTTATTTATTTATTTATTTATTTTTGCGATAGGATTCCCGAATTCATCCATAAATCAATCTTAACAGTTAGTAATTTTGCTAAGTACAGCTGCTAACATTTTGGGTTTTCTTCACTAGATTTACGCATTTAGAGGTCTAATTTTCTGCTTATTTCGTCCATGATTTTTTGTTCTGAATTTAGCTGTAGCACCTTTGATTGGTTTCACTGCTGGCAAGAAAAAAAAAAAAGCCTCTCATAGTTCTGGACTGTCACCACTGCAGTACTGTTGGGATGTTGCTCGCATATTTTTTGAGATGTTGTGTTTGGATGAAATACAGTGGAGTCCAACAGACATCACATAACCCATTAACCCCATTCTCAAGATAGGTATGCCTGCTCATCACATGGGAGGGTAGATATAGATAAAAGCAATAGATCAGGTAAGTTTGGGCATATTATATGCATTATCTCAATATTTGTGCATCCCTCTTTCTGATGCATTACAGGAAAGAGTCAATTTTCAGAAATTAGAGCTGGAAATCTGCAGGTTTAATTCTACATGCTGCTTTGCAAACTACAAACAGGATTTTGAAGTTTTTACTTTTCCATAAAAAAGGAGTTCTCAACTAATACTTGTCATGATGAAAGATCCTGACCCCCGTGCTGTAGATCTCCCCATCTTATCCACAGTTGGGCCTTTCAGCTGTTGCTATTAAGAATTTCCTTTCCTAACCTGTCAGTTTATATTATTTCAGTAGGTTTGTATTTTTTTACATATACCTTAGGTGAGATATTCACAGCTTGTTTAACTAATGTTTGATTACCTAAGCCGGCTGTAAACTTTTTCATAATTGTATCTTTGACTTGTCTGGTGTGTATCTTGGTCCACATTACATCGTTTCTTCACTAGTGTTCACAAAGAACCTGCTGATAAGAAAAATTCCTCTTTTTCTAAAATTCCTTTTTACTAAAGCAGGTGTAAGATACATTTAAACTCCTTGTGTTGATCTGTTCCAAGCCTCAAAAATACTAAGAAATTGCATTTAACCCATGATTCTAATGTGACAAAATGCGTGAAGTTTTAAGGGGTGTGACATTCATTCATGTTTATTTTAAATGCGTTGTAGATCTGTCGTTCAACAGAATCAAGAAAATTGAGGGTCTGGAGTCTCTGCGGAAGCTTGAATTGCTAGCTTTGTCGAACAACGAAATCTCTCTTCTTGAGAACATGGATACACTTGAGAACCTCACCCACTTCTATATATCTCACAACCTCATCGGGCACTTGGACAATGTAATTTTTTTTCTTTATCAAAATAACCAGAATTTTGTGTAAAATGATGGAATATTTGAACAAATATTTGGCTATCATATTTATTTCAAAGGTGCTCTACCTCAGAAGGTTCAAAAGACTGGATTCGATCTCCATCACTGGAAATCCATTCACTGAGAAGGAGGATGAAAAAATGTATGTTGCTGCCTTTCTCCCAAGTGTGACGAGGCTAGACCATCTTACCATTACCCAAAGGATGGTAAGTTTAGAATCTTGTGTTTTTGGATGTCCCTAATGATTGAATTGTGGCCTTTGTATCTCTGCTTCCTTCTCTATGTCTGCTTCTGTCTCCTTGAACCCCAGTCGGCCTCGGCAGATGGCCGCTCACACTGACCCTGGTTCTGCTGGAGGGTTTTTTTAAAAGGGAGTTTTTCCTTTGCACTGTTGCTTCAAGCTTGCTTGTTCTAAGGGATTGCCTTCGAGTCAATGAGTCGATGCAATCAACTGGTTTTCCTTAGAACGAAGATTTGAATCAAAATGACTGTATGATCTGGTTGAATTGTAAAGTGCATTGAGATGACATGTGTTGTGAATTGGCGCTATAGAAATAAGCTGAATTGCATAGAAAAAGTATGATATCACAAAGTAAACATAGATGATCAAATTAAATGGAAGGATCATGTTAATTATATTGGTAACAAAATATTACCGATTATATCTGTTATGTATAAAGCTAAGTTCTTTTTAGATCAAAGATTATAGCATATACTGTATTGTTCATTGCTGTATCTCAGCTATTTTGCTGAGACATTTGTATTTTGTGTTTTTCTTTTTAAATCAATGAACAGTACAGAAGATTACTGACTAGTTTGCTTACTTTCATTTTAGTTTTTTATTCTCTTTTGGTTCTTGAATATTACTAAAACTGAAAATAAAAAAGTAACAGATAAAATGGTTTAAGTATATTGTTCACTGGAACAAGGAGTGTGATTAAATAAGTTACGCACCCTCCTTCTCTGTATGGACGTATAACTTTGTATCCTTGGCTTATTATGAAGATTTCTTAATTGTGGTCTTGCTTTGACTAATTGCTTTTTTGTTTAAAGTTTTTAAAAATATCTTCTTCTTACATGTTCAAATAAATGTATTTAACATCTTCTTTTTCATTACATTTACTTTCTGAGGTTACTTTAAACCAGTGCAGCCAGATTTGTAGCCCCGTATTGATGTTCCATTTAGATGTTTCATTTAACAAGTATAATCTATTTGTGTCTGTGCATATTCAGAGAGAGGAAGCCATCTTGAAATACCAAAATGATCAAACATTTAGGGCTCTGGAGTCAGAGGCCAAGCAAACTCAAAGGTCTGACCAAAACCAGGAATCTCAGGTAAAAAGACTCAAATTTAGTTTTTTCAAGAATGCACATTTTATTTCTTGACTCTCTGTCCATTTTAAGTTCTACTTCTACTCTTTTACAGGGTACGTCTGTGGACAATACTGTGACAAGAGGGACTCTTGTGCTTCAGACATATCCTGTTTTCTTTAAACTTAGCAGATGTTTCCTCTCCTCAGTCTGCACAACCTGACTAAATCTGCCATATTCCTTGACTTAGCATTTACAGACCAGAGCCAATTGATGGAGCTGTTCTCACGCATAGTGTTCGAGGACTTAGCTAAGCAAAATCAAATAAAGAAAGAGCTAAACACATTTTTATCTCACTGGGCTGAGACTGAGGCTTTCTTCCAGCAGAGGACATTACAGATTTTTACAGAGTTTGAGGAGCAGCACATGCAGGTAAGCGTTATCTTTACATTTAATCCAGTTTGTCATATCTCTTTTCTATAGAAAAATCATTATAGATGTTTAGTGCCTTCTTATTCAGATTTTTCTGATGTATTATTTCAAATGTTGTAGAGGATGGTGGAGATACAGAATCTAGAGGACCGAGAGCAACAAAAGATCAAAATCGAGAACTGCAATGATGAAATCCTGCAGCTCCGTGAAAGACTCTTGACTCTGGAATTTGAACTGATTGGAAAGAAAAATGTGAGATTGTGTTTGAATATTGTCTTGCATCTGGGAATCTAATAAGTGTTTTGAGATAAGATACTTGACTTAAGTCTGGTGCTTATTTTATTTCAGGAAAACATCAAACAGTTTGACAGCTGGATCTCAGACAATGTTGGTAACTTTTAGAGATACTCTACAATGATGTCACTCAATTCTTTGTCAGGGTAGCAACTACAGTAATAATTTAAGTTCTTTACCATTTTTTGTTAAATGCATGCTGTCTGGCAAAATGATCAAGAGCAAGAATGACATACAAATATTACTGCAATCAATTATTTGGTTTCAGGTATTCAGGAGAGGCCACCAGAGCTTTACATTTATTTTAGTATATCAAGGCTTTGGGAAGAGAAACCGACTCACCTGGAAGCAAACAGTGTCCTGCATACTGG